TATTTTCATCTTCTTATGAAAAACAGATGTTGAGTGTATTTCCGATTAGATGCTAATGTTTCTTTGGAATGTAATTTTGAAAATGTTCAGCGAGACCGTTAAATTTTCTCGCTGTTGAGTTTACGATAGCCAGGTTTGTAGAACGCCGCCAGCACGTTTGTTGGTCATTTTGCAGAAACGGCCATACAAAAAGAATATTCGTTCAGTTTTCTTTTAAACTAAGGAACGAGTGTTCCTAAGTATACAATAAAATCATTAAAAAATAAGTATTAAAAAGCTATAAATTTTCTTTCGCAAGTATTGAGGACGGTATTGGATAGGTTCCCGATGTTGATCATTCGATGGAGCGTTGGATTCGGATCCAAGAGGTCTCGGTTTCGTGCCCTGTTCGGGTTACGCCTTTTTCTTCCGATATTGATAAATAAGTACCACCCTCTGGGAAGGCAACAGGATACTACACTACTCCTATCGCTATGAGGCACTCCTGGCTTATGACACGAAAATGGGGATCAGTGCAGCATTATCAGTTTCAGGAATTGAACGTGTAAGAGAATGAAACCAGCATACCGAATGGTTACCTTTACTTCTTCGAGGTTGTTCTCCAAACGGCTTTAATGTCGTTAAGACGCGTTTAAAGCAAATCCTCACCAGCTATTGTAAAATTGTCCGATCAACCGCAGAATAACTTTTTTCTTGTCTGCCTTGGATAAACCCTGTAAAATCGTTTTTTGCATGAGTTTTCGCTATATTTGTTTGTCCCTTAGTTCAGCATTTATGTTTGTTTTATTTCATAATCAGAGATTCACTGAATAACATCAGTATACTGCTTTTCAGACTTTTGAAGATAATAATATTTAATCGCTTTTAAATCAGGTTGTCGGAATAATGAAGGTGAACGTCGAGAAAGTGTTAGAAAGGGACGCAAAACTTTCACAGTTAGATGACAGAGCAGGTGATTTCATTAGCCTGTTGAATTTTGCTTTTAAAAAAATCATTTTAGACGCGCTTCAGGAAGGGGCTTCGCAGTTCGAGAAAAGTGCCGCAACTCTAAAACGAAAATATTGGTGGAAAAACTGCAAAGTACTGATCGAATAACATATTCGTTATGATATATAATTCCTGCTATAATATTTAGTTTTAAAGTTTTGCCTTTTGCCATGTCAGATTGCCTTTATGTTTGACAAAATTATTATTTGAACTACTCGCAGATAATATTTACGTATTATGCTAACAACCGCACATAATTTTAGCTTTTGTTTTGAATTAATAGAATTGAATCCGTACTGAGGTATAAATGAACAACACCTGGTGACATGAAGCTCTGGAAATAAAGTTTGCATTCGTACAATATATATAACTTTATGTGGAATTGTAATTAGCCCGTTTCAATTTCTGCTCTCATTTAAAATTCTTTTACGTCTCATTATACGACAGTCGTGATCCAAATGTGTATTTAGTGTATGCTGCGTTTAATGTATACGATTTATAGTATGGTGGTAGTGTATATAGCGCTCGTACTCTAGCATATACACAAAAGCTAATATACATATACGTTTAGATGCTATCAGAGGTTCGGCGCAATCCAAACGCGGTATTCCCAGTGTAAAGTGGGAAATGACCGAAGCGATATTGCACCTCAAAGTAGTGAGAATTAGTTTTCTTCAGCCGTTGCCTTTAAGATCCGTTATTATTACTTCCTAAGGTCGACGAAATGGTAGTTCTGACTGTGAAACGGATAATTCAGTTGCAAATTCAAGTAGATCGCCTTTTTTAACTTCTGAAGATCGCATAACAAAATCTTTTCACTGTGTTTGCACAGTTAATCGAAGATGACGACTCATGAACAAGGAAAACAGAGTATCTTAACTTTTAATCGATGATGTCGGGAAAATTTCAAAAAAAAGACTTCCTTAGCCGCCCGTTGTCAAGACTGAGTAAAGATTTAGCGCTATGATATGTCCTGGTTTCGTATTCCCGTGATTTGAAATGAATATTGTTGTGGTTGTTGACACCGTCAACCATTTTCGCCATCTGTTCCGTTACGAAGCGTATAATTCAGAAATCTGCTGTAGATGAGTGATATAGTATGTGATGAGTGATAAAATATGCGTGCAATTTAATCGTATTTTTGATGTCCATTTAACAATAATGACTTGATTAAGAATGAGTGTAACACGGAAGTTATTTCAGTAGAAGTGCTTAACATACCACGACAAGGCATGGCGAAGTTTTCACCTTGCCCTGACATCGTTCTTTTCATCGTTTCCTAATATTTTTCGAAGTTAGTTTACAGCAGCTTCAGGATTACATGGTTTTCATGAGTTGCGAAATGTGAGTCGGTAAGGCATTCAATTTCCTGCCACCAAGTTTCAAATACAGTAGTTCTCATGTGTGGCGTAACTGAAGAACACATAATATCGATCTCTCAGCATGATGTGTTCTGTGAAAGAAGACTCAGGACAATAAGGTCATCGTAGAGGTGCATAGGGCATTTTGTTGGTTAGATACTTTTGCCGGAATTGTTAAATAGAATTTGTACGGTGAATTTGTTTTATTTTAGCTCTTAACGTAAATTTTAGTCCCGTTTTCATTTTTCTACAATCGATATGCAAATTTAAACAGGTCTATTACTGAAAACGTTTAAATCGTGCAATAGTTAGGGCACATGTTTTCAGTCGTGCTCTGTAGTGCCTCGTTTTGTTTGTCATTTCTGGATTGTTCATCAGTATTTATTTCAGATGATCATCATAATCTGTGCAATTATTTTGGTCATCATAATCATCATAGTTGGTAAGTTAACATTTTTTTATATTTGTACTAGTGTTAATATTTTTATTGAATTTCATGTTTACATTTTGGATTCGAGCACTGTGTTGTAATATAGTATTTTACCTGATTTGCTGAGATAGACTGAAATATTCTGTCAGTTCAGCGTAAGCGCCGAGCTCGGAGTGGATGCAGCGTATTTTCGATTCCATGCGTAATGTAGCTCCATGTTCTAGCTTGCGCAGTTTTATGCGTGAAATATTTGCTGTCGTTTTCGGGGCCATCACAAATAAAGACGACTTCATTTACTGATCCCAGTCAAGTGATGCTCTGTTTTTCCAGGAATTCTGCGATGAAAAAGTAGCAGATGCAATAATTTGAGCTTGTAAGCAAACTGTTTAATAAGTGCTAATAGGGTACTGTAAATAAAGTTGACAGAGCTTTGCGTCTAATTATTTCATTACTATTAATTCTGATCAATTCTGATCATTTTCTGAGTTCAACACAGTATATGTAAGTGAGCGCTTCTCAAAATGTCTCTTGTAGTCTGCTTTTTCGTCCTTTCGATCAGTTCTTGAAACATCTCTGCACTGCTACGAATATGTTCAGGTTTCAGTCAGTAATGCTAGCATCTTGTTACGATTGCGTTCATCTATGGTTCTTGTAACTCGTCGGGTACTGAAAAATGGTAAATCGGAATATCGTCTAGCTTTCAGTATGAGCCTAAGGAAACAGATTAACTTGACGTACCGGATTTCAGTGTTCTTCTCAAAATTGCAAAATTCAGTTAGGCAGGAAAAGGGCTTGTTTGGCGAAATCGACCTGCAGTGGAACTCAAACAGCGAGTAAGTAAAGAGCTGACTAAGCTATTAAGCTATTTGATTGCACGTTGAAACTCTGTTCAGTCCGAAACGTCAGTGATGAACTCAATGCTGTGCCGATACTTCGTTCGTTTAAGGCACACAACGAAAATGGCAAGGGTTGTTGACATTATTTCAGTAGATTAGAGTGGGTATTCGGCATTTGAGATGGCATAGATGAACAAATGAAAATATTAAGTACAGAAATCGTATAATCGTGTCACCACGCTGAGTGCCATAGTAGTTGGGGCGCTGCAAACGTTGGATCTAGAACATTTGTATGACAGTCGTAGATTTGTATTTGTCAGTGAAAGTCTAGCGGATATGTCTCATCTTCCAAAGCTTAAAGCAGCAACAGGCTTCAGGAGTGCAAGTGGCATTTGAAAGAAGACTACGAAGTTAACAAATAAAGATAGCTGGGCCGACATTCCGAATGTAGTTGTGTACATGTATATAGTGTGTTAGTTTTCATTAGTCTGTGTTAATTTTCGAGTTTTAAAATTTTAATTTTTAATCCAGTTTACGCATTGGTCATATTTAAAGATTATATACGAAGAATAACTGTAAATGAGAATATTTGTAGGTGAATGCATTGCGAAAATTGCCTTGAAGCTCTAAAATCGAAATTTTTGTTTTTCTGCTTGAATCGACCCTTCGAAAACACGAATCTGCCTTCGCATTTTTTTGCTGTTGTTCGTTTATCGACCTATGAACTTCTGACAGACGTTTTTCCTGAGTGGTTGTTTTTGTTTAGTTCAGATCCATCTTAGGCCGATATTTGAGGGCTTAAAAAATGCTTTTTTTATTTAAAATGCAAATGATTTCGTACGTTAAAAGTCTTTTTAAAGTTTCAAAACTTAAAATAAATATTTCAGTTTGGGCGACAAAGTGATTTCGATCAGGTACTTAGGTGTCGTAACGTGTCTGTTTGTAACGCTTTGCTGATTTTGTAAAGGAATTTGTATCCATCCTTTATGGCACAAGTTTAATAACTTTTTGGGTAATTATCATTTTCGATTGTTTTAGTATGGATTGTATCATCGAAGTCGTCATCTTGAACCCTTGATTAGAAGTGTCTGTTTCGTGCTGAGGCCCTACGTTCCGGTTCTTTGTCATTAGTTTCAACAGCTGGCTATATTCTTATAAATACATCGTTTTGCCGTTTGATATAATAGTAACTTCCTTTTGTTCTTGACTGAAAAGTTATATTGTAATTGCTTACTTATTCTTATTACTATCATTCATTTTTAAAATGTGTATCATGTTCGATCTTGTAATGTATTCGCTATTGTGATGTTCATTTGTATATGAAGCTAGTTATTACTGAACTTGTGATAAAAATCTTCCCTTGCGAGTTTATGAATGAATTTCGTTTGAATTGAATTAGTTCTGTTTCGTAATAAGAATGACATCGGTGCTTAAAAGATTGTTAATTTATTATGCATAACATGTTCACTGTTACTGAACAAGACAAGAGCCACGAATAACAATTTCGAAGCTAACGAGGCAACGGTATTTACGCTGTTATCTGAACAGCAAGATCTTCGGTATTCATTTCCTGTTTTATATTTCTTCCACGTTTGACCTTGCGTGATGCATCATATCGACGTATGTTTCTGTCAAGAAGTCGGTATCCTTTAGGCTTAATTTGGCCGTTAAGTCGGACACGAATTTCACTCCTTCAGGGTAGTCTTGAGGTGGCGGAAGGTCATACTAAAATTAAGTCACTATGGTTGAGTGTTTCAACAAGGAAAGAGACTTAGACAACAAATGCAAACTTAGCAGAAAATTCTAATTCACAATGACAGAAATTCATAACATCAGGTGAAAAATGAATCAGTTAAAAGTTAGACAACTTTCTGGGGCAAATCTAAATTAAATTACGTCTGATCAGTAGAATGAAGAAGTGTACTGCAAATAGGCGAGTCAGTAGATGCCCAACACTGAACTTCAACGAAAACTACGACCACTAAATGCGTGTGAAATAAGTTTGTAAGTGAATAAAATACATAGGGGCGCATAGATTGAGACGATGCAGCGATTTTCGCCCGAGTCAGGTTTCCTTAACTGTTATTCAATGCTTTTTGATAAAAAAAGTCATTTGCTAATCAGATGAAGCATGCAACAATAGGACGGACCATAATGTCGTAAAAAAGAAACTGTATGAACGACCCTATACAGCATAGGAAAGTTGACTTAAAGGAAGAGATACGAAGTGAATAAAGAAAGCCACGGCTGGTTGTTATGAGGTAAAAGCCGTTTTATGGTGATGCCATACCGTCCGGCTGCTCGGTTAATGAGTTGCGGTGCGACATGCTCAATTCGACGTAACCGGAAAAATTTCATGACAAATCAATCATAACAGACCACATGATGCAACAATATGAACTGCTAAAAAAACTAAAGATCGAAAAATAAAAAAGCATACAGTTTAGTAATTTGATAATTCAATATAGTTATCAATCATAT